TTACAAAATTGGCAATTTTGATAAAAGGTGTATTGACCCGTGAAGTGATAGTCAATGCTGACCAAGTAATCAGGAAAATAAAATGGCACGTGGGCTACTTGCCCAGTAAAAGATCCGTTGCTATTTTATCTGTTTTCAGTTGTATTTAGCCTATTTAAGTTTCATTGTTTTAGCTGTTAAGTAGATGTAACCCTTCCGGTTTCATTCATTCAATAAAAGGCAATCATTCGGCTATCTTGTTCCTGTTATACCCCTGTCAATTTATTGTTAGATTAAGCCTTGCCCACCAACAAGTGGTATCAGAGCTTCAAGGTTCTGATCGTGTGTATGCCCAAGATCATCAGATACGATACCATGACAGTAGCTTCAATATCCAATCCACCCAAAGACAGCCCTTACCCCCTTCAATGCCTGATGCTAACCTCATCAAATTACAATACATGGTCGATTAATATGGAAGCCATTATGGATGCCCATGGGTTATGGGATGCCATCGAGCCACCAACCGGTGTGGTTGTGGATGAGAAAAGGAGCAAGCAAGCTCGAGCCTTCATCTTCCAATCGATCCCGGAAGAGATGCTTGCACAAGCTGCCAAAAAGAAGACAGCCAAAGAAGTGTGGGACTCTCTAAAGTCACGGTATGTAGGTGCAGAACGAGTCCAGAAAGCAAGACTACGGGTGTTGAAAAGTGAATTTGAAGGACTTCAAATGAAAGACACGGAGACCATAGATGATTATGCAGGGAGGATATCGGCCATGATTTCAAAATTTGGGAGTGCAGGGGCAATTCTGGAAGATGAAGAATTGGTAAGGAAGCTATTCGACACTGTCCCGGAAAGATTTATAAATCTTGTGGCCTCAATTGAACAAAGCTCCGACATGGAGTCCATGCCATTCGAGGAGGCAATTGGGCACTTAAAGGCTTATGAGGATCGACCTCCGACTCCGGAAGGCAAACTCAGGTGGTGACAATGCCTTGTTACTTGCAAAGTCGGAGGGCTCTTCAAGTCATCGAAGTCCAAGCAAGACCGGGGGTCGGGGGAGAGGTGCAAACAGTGACAGAGGTGGAAGAGGCGGTTCGCGAGGTCGGGGGTCGACTCGTGGAAGAGGTGGGCGTTTCGGTGGGAGTTCAAGTCATGAAGAAAATAACTCCAACCGGAAGCCACGAGACAAAAGCCATATAAGATGTTTCGAGTGCCAAGAACTTGGCCATTATGCTTCCGAATGTAAAGCCAAGAAGTAGCAAGATCAGGAGGTGAACTTAGCTGCAGATGAAGATGGACCTGCTTTGCTGCTAACCATACATGGAGATAAATACAAGTATGGTTCTTCTGAATGAGGAGAAGGTGTATCCGAACCAGTTAAAAGAAAGAGAAGATAACAACATGTGGTACCTAGATAATGGGGCTAGTAACCACATGACTGGTTCTAAAGCTTTATTTGCAGAATTAGATGAGAAGGTGACTGGACAGGTGCGATTTGGAGATGGCTCTAAGGTCCCTATCAAAGGGAAAGGCACTCTACTGTTTGATTGCAAGAATGGTGATCAGTTCGTCATTCCAGATGTGTACTATATCCCAGCCTTGCATAGCAATATACTTAGCTTGGGACAGATGACGGAGGAGGGATATGATATAGGAATGAAGAGGGAATTTTTGAGGATGCATGATGAAGCTGGCCGTTTGATCATGAAGGTACAGAGGTCAAGAAATAGATTATACAAGATAAGACTCACACCTGGGAAGCCTACTTGTTTAGCTATGAGTATATTTGATGACTCATGGTTGTGGCATGCACGTCTGGGCCACACGAATTTTAGAATGCTGGAAGAAATGACACGGAAGCAGATGGTGACAGGGATGTCTCTCGTATCTCACCCAACACAGGTGTGTGAAGGATGTATGGTAGCTAAGCAACCTAGACAAAGTTTTCCAAAAGCGGCCCAATGGAGAGCTAAGGAACCGCTCCAACTGTTACACGCGGACCTCTGTGGACCCATCACACCTGCAACAAAGGGTGGCAATCAGTACTTTTTACTAATTGTCGATGATTATTCCCGATACATGTGGGTGTACCTGATCAAAACCAAAGATGAAGATTTTGGCATGTTCCAGAAATTCAAGTTACAGGTTGAAAAAGAAAGCGATTGTAAGATCAAAATGTTGAGAACCGACCGGGGGGTGAGTTTAACTCCACTCAATTCTTGAATTTTTATGAAGAAGCTGGCATACGATGCCAATTGACGACTCCACACACGCCCCAGCAGAATGGCGTTGTGGAACGACGCAATCGAACTATCCTGGAGATGACAAGGTCCTTGCTCAAAGCCATGACGGTACCCGATCAATTTTGGGGAGAACCTGTGCGTCGCTCGGTGTACCTGTTGAACCGAATTGGAACAAAGGCACTCAAGGACGTGACTCCATACGAGGTCTGGAAGGGGTCAAAGGTCGTCGGTTGCACACCTCAAGGTTTTTGGATGTGTAGGTTTCGTCAAGAAATTGCGAGGTTTGACCAAGCTAAGTGATCGTTGTGAGACCATGGTTTACTTGGGGGCAGAAGATGGAACAAAGGGGTACCGGGTGTACAATCCTAGGAATCGTAGGATTGTAATTGCAAGGGATGTGGTGTTTGAGGAATCAAAAGCATGGGTCTGGAATGAGGAATTAATTAACGAACCACTTACCACACCTTATTGGACTAATGTTTTAGTCCAAGAAGCAACCCAATTACAGCCAGCCCAAGAGCAGCAAACACCAGACGGCGTGAATGCGACGCCGACTAGCAACTACGCACGATCTCCTGATCTCGGACCAAGTAATACGTCTGTTGATGAAACGCCGATATCAGTCTCACCTGGAGAAGAGTCGCGAGCAGCATCAACAAACCAATACTCCAGAAATTACGATGATGTCGGGTCGGCAGCCTCGTTCGATGACACCCCAACAAAAGGGTTTCGCTCAATCAACGAGATTTACCAGAATACAGAGAGGATGGATGAATACGAGGTACAAAGACTGTATGAGCAAAATCAAGAACTACTATTGATCGATGATGAACCCACAACGTTTGAAGAACCATCAATTGAAAGAAATTGGAAGCTAGCTATGGAGACAGAACTGAAATCGATCGAGAAAAACAATACCTGGGTTTTGACCAAATTGCCACCAAACCGAAAGGTAATTGGGTTAAAATGGGTATTCAAATTGAAAAGAGATGCAGCAGGAAACGTGATCAAGCACAAGGCCCGATTAGTAGCCAAGGGGTATGTTCAAGAAAAGGGCATCGATTTTGAAGATGCTTTCGCACCAGTGGCTCGTTTGGAAACTATAAGGTTAATCCTGGCACTAGCAACAAGAGAAAATTGGCTTGTACATCACTTAGATGTCAAGTCTGCGTTTCTACACGGTGACCTCAAGGAGGAGGTGTATGTCTCTCAACCAACTGGGTTCTCGGTTAAAGGAAAGGAGAATATGGTATATCGTCTCAGAAAGGCTTTGTACGGGTTAAGACAGGCTCCAAGAGCCTGGAATATGAAGCTGGACCAGACACTCAAAGGACTAGGATTCACCAGATGTGCTCAAGAACAAGCAATCTATAAGGTACACAAACCCAACTTAATCCCCATTGTAGGGGTATATGTGGATGACCTTATAGTTACTGGCTCAAGTGAAAAAGAAATCCTAGAATTCAAGAAAAGAATGAAGCAAGTATTTGACATGAGTGACTTGGGACTTCTATCCTATTACCTGGGAATAGAAGTATCTCAAGGGAAGGATGGTATTATGCTCACACAGCAGGGGTATGCAAGGAAAATCCTGAAGGTGGCAGGAATGGAAGAGTGTAACAGCTCACAATATCCAATGGAAGCCAAGTTGAAGCTGACTAAGGATGAACAGGGGGAACCTGTATATGCAACAAATTACAGGAAATTGGTTGGCAGCCTAAGATATCTAGTACATACAAGACCTGATCTGAATTTCAGCATTGGTGTTGTGAGCAGGTATATGCAGAACCCGAAGCAAAGCCATTATGCAGCCATAAAGCATATCCTAAGATATGTAAAAGGAACAATAGGGTATGGTCTAAAGTATCGCAGAGGAGGTGATGGTATGTTAGTAGGGTACAGTGACAGCAGCTACAGTGATGATCGGGAAGATGGAAGAGGAACCACAGGTGTGGCATATTATTTCTCGAGAAATCTGATAACATGGGCCTCACAAAAGCAACAAACTGTTGCTCTAAGCTCGTGTGAGGCGGAGTACATGGCTGCAACTGCAGCTGCTTGTCAGGGACTGTGGTTGAGAAATTTGTTGAGTGACCTTGTTGGAAGAAGAGCTCAAAAGGTGAAGCTACTGGTGGATAATCAATCTGCTATTGCACTTATAAAGAATCCAGTTTACCATGGGAGGAGTAAACACATAGATACAAAGTATCATTTCATTTGTATGTGTGTTGAAAGAGAGCAAATTCAGGTGGAGCATGTGAGTGGAGATCAACAAAAGGCAGATGTGTTGACAAAAGCAATGCCAAGAATCAAATTTGCTAAAATGAGAGCACTCATAGGTGTGGAATGTCTGAAGAAGAAGGTCAACATTGAGGGGGAGAAATGATAGTCAATGTTGACCAAGTAATCAGGAGAATAAAAGGGCACGTGGGCTACTTGCCCAGTAAAATATCCGTTGCTATTTTATATGTTTTCAGTTGTATTTAGCCTATTTAAGTTTCATTGTTTTAGCTGTTAAGTAGATGTAACCCTTCCAGTTTCATTCATTCAATAAAAGGCAATCATTCGGCTATCTTGTTCCTGTTATACCCCTGTCAATTTATTGTTAGATTAAGCCTTGCCCACCAACATGAAGATGGTAATTAAGGCCATGAGGAGTTTGTTGTTATTATTATTATTATTTTTGAAAATGGTGTTTATATATGTGTAGATATAGTCTTAGGTTTCTGAATGTTGGATCTTGGCAGCCATTAAAGCTATGGAAGTAGGAGTTGAAGGAATCATAGTCTCGAATCATGGTGCTCGCCAGCTAGATTTTGTTCCAGCCGCCATTGATGCTCTGGAAGAGGTGATTAATGATTAATTGATTGTTCAGATCCAAATGCATTGCAAACATTAACAATTTATAAAAGAAAATCACCGGTTTTTCCTTTTTCGTAGGTGGTCCTTGCAGTTAAAGGACGAATACCAGTGCTGTTTGATGGAGGAATAAGGCGAGGAACAGATGTATTCAAGGCTTTAGCTCTTGGTGCACAGGCTGTTATGGTAATTTTGAATTATAAATTAGAGGGAAATGATTAAATGGTGATGATGATGATGTTGTTGAATGTTGATATCGAATTATTTGTAGATTGGGCGTCCAGTTATTTATGGGTTAGCAGCAAAGGGGGAGTATGGAGTAAGAAGAGTGATTGAGATGTTGAAGGATGAACTTGAGTTGACCATGGCTCTTTCTGGGTGTCCCACTCTTACTCATATTACAAGGAACCATGTCAAAACAGAGCTTGATCATCGCCATTCTAGACTTTAGTATAAGAATATCAGATTGTTTTAAGAAGTAAGTATTTCAGAATGATGTATTATTTGATGAATAAATCTGTAAGCATTCAAGTCCATTAAAAACTTGTCATTGTATGTTCATGTGTAAACATTCCCTTGGGTTATAAATGTTGGTGTGCACACTTATTTCGTTTTTTTTTGTATAAATCACATGAAATTACAACAGGATTCGATCAAACTCTGTTTTTGTTTCCACTGTATGGATCGCTAGGATCAACAATTACCACAAGGATCAACAAGCCTCACTAAGATCAAATGGTTGGATCACTAAGATCGACTTTAGGAATCACGTGCCCATCAACATCAACATGAAACCATGGAATGGGTTTTCAAGGTCCATCCATATGCATACTAACTTAATAGTCACTAAGACAAATAATTGACACAGACAAAATGGGATTAAATCCCTATAAAAGTCCAGACACACACTCAGGTCAACCCCATTCTAAGTTTAAGCGAATTAGGTTTGGTAAACACTTATGTTATCCACATACAAACAAGAGTACTAGGTGTATATTCAAACCATTTATTTGTCAAAAACAGTGATAGGGACATTTACTCACCTTTGTGTGAATTGTGATGTTGATGTCAAATTCCAACTCTACGTGTCTTTAGATGCCACACACAACCTATTCGATGAAGTATATATATATATATATATATATATATATATATAGGTAGGTTCAAATGTTTCTCACATCTATTGTGTGTTAGAATGCACCAAATAAGAATTTAGTATTAATTATATGTATATTAAATGCTATCCATACTTATAATTCATTTTTATGGAAACTAATTAAATTCGTCATTAATGTCAACAATAATATTCTTTCAGAATGAATTCATATCTAGAAAAATGAGAGTGTATTCCAGCAGAATGAGAGTGTATTCTAGTAGAATACACTCTCGTTATTCATATTCCATGCAACTTTATTATATTTTAAGTGAATGAGTCCTGAAACAAAATACGAACTCATATATAAAAACCTAGATACGAATTTATTCTGAAAGAATGTTATTGCTGACATTAATGACAGATTTAATTAGTTTCCATAAAAGAGATTTATAATTATGGATATCATTTAATATATACATGTAATTATGGAAATCATTTAATATCTATATTTATTTAATTAAATAATTATTTAATTTACTAAATTCCTATTGGTGCATTCTAGCACACAACAAATGTAAGAAACAAAATAACCTACCCCTATATATATATATATATATATATATATATATATATATATATATATATATATATATATATATATATATATAGAGAGAGAGAGAGAGAGAGAGATGAGGGTTCAATTGAGAAAAAAAAAAGGTTGAGAATGGGGAAATCATTCTCAGTCACTCATTTATTTTTGCCGCAAAAGCCTCCGTCGTACTAGCGGAAATGAGAAATGAATAGACATGTGTTTTCCAACAAAACATATTTCCTTAAATTATGCTAATCATTACATTAATATATACAAAAACATAGTTTTTTTCGTTTTTTTTAATTTTTAAGAAGCTATTTTTATCGAAAAATGATTTTTAAAATATACCAAAATTCATGGTTTTTTATTCTCTACAAATAGACATCCATATTGATATAGTTTTAAGATAAAATAAAAAATTTATTTTTTTTATATTTTCAGCTATCGTTATTCATAAGTGAATAAAAATGCATCAGGTTTAATTACAGTACATTCGTTATTCATTTATGAATAAAAAATATGATTAATTTTTTTTACAATTTAAGTATCATTCATATATGAATATAGCATATAATAAACATAGTATATTCATATTTAAATATTAGACGATGTATTCACTTGTGAATATTAACATATTATATTCACTTGTGAATATTAGATGGCATATTCACTTATGAATATTAAATGATATTTTCATATGTGAATATTACATAGTATTACATGGTATATCACATGTGAATATTACATAGTATATTCACTTGTGAATATTAGATGATATATTCACTTATGAATATTACACAGTATATTCACATATGAATATTACAAGGTATATTCACTTGTGAATATATTCACTTATGAATATTAGAAGATATTTTCACAAATATATATAATTTTCATATGTTATTCACATATGAATAACATACAGAATTGCATATTTGTTTTATGTTTTTAATAATCATATACTGATTCATGTGAGAAAACATATTCATATGTGAATATAACGTGGTAATTTAGTTTATGCATTTCATCAAACAGTTAGAGTGCATACAATTTAACTATTTTAAAAATGTTAAAAACATGATACTTCCAATTCAAATTATCAATTCCAAATCATCATATACTTCCGATTTTGACTTTAGATGCGACATCCTATGTTTGATCGATTTCTCATTTTGATTTTGATTTCCGAAAATCCGATTGGGAACCTGTGAGTACCGATTCCGAGTCCTTCAATGTCGACTGTGACTGCGAGTCCAGAACTCCGATTCCAATTTCATGAACAGCGAAGAAATTCCGATTCCAACTGAGTTCGTTTGCGAATCTGGGAAATTCCAGTTCCAAATCCGTTATGAACTTTAACAGATGCTTGCAAGCTACGAACATTCGGAGTATTCAACAAAGAAATCGATGAAATTGATGAATTTGGGTTGCGAATTTGTCTTGAACGGCGAACCTCCCAGCCACGAATATCGATGATTGATTAACACTTGATGACATTGATGATGGTTTAGTTGAAGAAATCTGGATGATTGTTGAAGGTTGGATGAGAAATTTTGATGATAAACGAACTGTTATCGAATTCTCTATAGTTACGTATTTGAGATTGAAGGTTATTAACATATTTACAAGTTTGTCACCGTGTCTTTTTATGCTTAGATTAAATGAGTGGCTGAGAATGATTCCCCCATTCTCAACCCTTTTTATTTTCTCAATTGAACTTACCTCTCTCTCTCTCTCTCTCTCTCTATATATATATATATATATATATATATATATATATATATATATATATATATATATATATATATATATAGAGAGAGAGAGAGAGAGAGAGAGAGCTAGGTTCATTTGTTTAAACTAATTATTGTGTTATTGTATGCATAAATGTGGGCCAATCAAAATTAAATAAAAATTAAATAATTAAATAAATAAATAAGGGTAATTTAGTAATTTGATTAGTAACTTCCAATAATAATCCCTATAATCATGGTATTGACTTTTAACCTAATTTCTCCAGGTTTATATCTAGAGTCGCTCAATCTCCACCGATTACAAGCCCTAGCCGATGATACAAAGCCGTCGCCACCATCGTCCGCCCCAAACACCTTCCTTCTATCTTCCTTCTTCTCGATTTTGTTTCTCTGACCTAGGACCATCGTGGTTACATTTTGGGCATATCCAGAGGGGAGAGAATATAAAGAGGAAAAAGGAATAAAGAAAAGCCAAACCACATTGTAGAGAATAAAGGGCCAAAAACGAACACATAATAGAGAGAGAGAGAGAGAGAGAGATTCTTGAATAATCGTGTCGAATCAGAAAAGATGGGTTCGGATACAGGTCTATAGAACTCGAAGCGGTTTCTAGCGACATGGTTGATCGGAGGTTTGGTGGCAGGGCTATCGGTTATGGGGTTATGCGCTGCTTGGCCGGAGCTCTCCCCTCTGAGTATTGTTGGGAGGAAGAAGAAGAGGCCCATTCGTGTATACATGGATGGATGCTTTGATATGATGCATTATGGCCACTGCAACGCACTCCGCCAAGCACGTGCTCTGGGAGATCAATTGATTGTTGGCGTTGGCAGCGATGTTGATATCATTGCAAACAAAGGCCCTCCGGTTACCCCTCTTCATGAAAGGTTCTCTACATCCTCTTCATTTTCAATCAAAATTCCTGCTTTTCCTTTTACCAAATTACCTTGTCTGCGAAAATGTTATGTGTTGGTCTCATGGTAAATTGGTAACCTTGTCCCTTATCAGGGTTCCTCTTAGATCCCATTCGGCGCAATGCTGTTCTTTTGTTTACTTTGGAGATTGATGCAGACGTTGATTCTTTCAAAATTAGGTTGCATGCATTGTTTCTAGTGTGTATATAGTTGATGCATTTGCTTAAATTCTTGTACGTTTTTAGGTGTACAGCCTCTTTTTCTGGAAATCTTTCATGGATAATGATTTATGGTGCTTGTCCAATGATGTATTCTCATTTATATAAATTTAGATATCATTAGTAGAGTGGAAATAAGTAGTAAACTAAAAGGGAACACAACATATGATAAATGAGGAGCCTTTACAACCTTGATTGCATCTTCTTCAAGCTAGCAAGATTATGATGGCTATATGTGAGCTTAGGATTAGTACTGAATGAAACATGATAGTTTCTAAAGTCTGTAATATTTGGTTGCATCTTCTTCAAGCACAGACATTGTTGGTATGCATATATATCATACTATATAACATAACAGATTAAGTCAAAAAACTTATCTTAGTTTTTGTAATATTTGGTTAAATACAGGGAGGATGCTTCTATGTGTAAGGGAGAGGACAAGTGGTGATAGCCCTAGTCATGCTTCCTTGCAAAGATAGTTTAGCCATGGCCATGGCCAGAAGAAATTTGATGATGCTGGTTCAGGAAGTGGGACCCATGTCTCTCATTTTCTTCCTACATCTCGCAGGATTGTTCAGTTTTCTAATGAAAAGGTAATACTACTACTACTAATAATAATAATAAGTATTTTCTTGTTTTTTTTTTGCTTGACGGAATTCAATGTGGTGTTTATTGCTTGAAATTGCCATGGAAAGAAGATTAAGCAATAACAATGAGTGGTTGTATTTCTCATTTGCAGGTATACATGAAATCAAGAAGAAGAATGTTCTTGTTTTCTTGGCTGGGAAGGGTACATATGAGACTTACAACATTCTACTGGAATGGAATCTTGAATTCCGATTATGTCAGAATAGAATCTTGAGGATGAACATTCTACGGGATGAAGATGAACAATGAC